CCTGTCAACAGTTAGTATTGCAGCATCTCTTTGGCAAACCAAAAGACAAATGCACTTAACTTGAACCATTTTCAAGCCTTTGCAAAAAAAAAAAAAAACTGTGTAGTGAGAAAAAAACTAAACTGAGGTCCTTCTGATGTTTTAGTCAGCACACTGACTAAAAATTTACTAGAGCTGCATAAAAACACCCACAGACATGTTGCTAGTAAGAGCTTATCTTACATATTAAAAGGACTTTGTGGAAGGAAATCTGTGCAAGAGAACAATTTCTACTGTCAAAGGTGATTCCTGGTCTTATGAAAGAGAGATTAAGCTGTGGAATAGTTGGAGGATAATTACTGCCTCTGCTACTTGTGCTCATTGTGTGATGCCCACCTACACATTATCCCAATACATAATAAAATGCTTTGCCCCTATTACCACATTCAATATCATGGTGGTCACACCTTCAATAGGTTGCACTGGTACTTCTGAGCGTCTCCTCCTTTGTTTTGTAGTCTTGTTTTTCAGACTCAGATAAGTGGTGTCCTAAAGTGGTTGCTTGCTATCAAAACATAATATTTCACTTGTAAGTATAGGTGACTTAGTAATATGAAGTAAGCATTGAGACCTTATAGGGGTGTGATGATACACTTAGCTCATGAGACAAGATGATACATGATACTGGTTCACAAGAATGAGCTAAGATGATATTTGAACACAATTTAAAAAAAAAAAGTTCAATGAAAAAATATATTGACTGGAAAAATAGTCTTTTATTAGACTGGAAGTCACAAAATGCAAAACGATACAGGTGCATTTTTAAACATTTTAACTAATCATTTTGTAATGAATGCCACCTCAGTTCTACTTTCTGAGTATAAATTAGCAGGCATTCAGATTGATCCAGTAAAACATAACTCCCTGCTGTTTTAACACACAGGGTTGTGTTGGTCAGGGGGTGAGGGGCTGCAGGGGAGTGTTGTACTGTAGGCGTGTGTGGTACGGCCACACTGTAACAAGTCAGTGTGAGTGGCTTCATTCACGTTTCCAGCCCAGGCAGGAGTTTTTGTTGTTTTTGTTAGCCATGCTGCTAACGTAGCCTACTCTACTTTAGCCCCAATTCTCCCACCAGTGTGTCGGCATGTTAGATTTAAGAAAACCACGGTTTAACATCCGCAACTAATGAAAATGCACGGCGTGTTGTTATGGTGCATAAAAACACAGCAGAGAGTTGCGTTTTTGACAAACTTGAATGCACCGTTACTTTGCCATCATACCGTCATTCTGTCATACTGTCATACTGGCTGCTGCTCAGGTTCTGTTATGTACTGATATAGCAAGACAACTTTTGCCTCAATGAGAAATATCATCGCATTCTAATATGGCGAAATTTTGTAGCATGAGATCTTGTCACACCCCTAAGACCCCTGGACATCAAAAATGTCAAAACATGATATCATGCAGTAAGAGTAATGGTATTTCATAATGAACGCTGCAAGAAACTCAGAACACAAAAAGTCTTGTTAAATGTCACACTAAGCACCCTTTATAAATCTAAAAGAGCTGGCATGGGACACCAGCAGCACTGACACTTCATCCATCAATACACACTCACAAACATTAGGGCACATACACATTCAGAGATTTACAAGCTCTAGGTGTCCATCATGATGTGACTGTACCAGTGGTAATGTGTTAACAGCTGAACCCTGCAGAGCCCTGAACAGTGGGGAGCTGTGCTGGTGTGACCATAACTCTGTCCGACATGGCAACAACCTCGTACAAAGTTTCATCCAGCTGAATTACAGCAGGTCTCAAACTATCACCTCAAAGCACTGTAAGTTTTATAGCTAGTACAGTACTTCTAAACCCTTTCAGATCTTTAGTTAGACTCTTCTGCAGCCCTCCAGATGTGCCAGTGTCAATACAAGTTTTAGTTACATTAACACATTTGCTTAAACCAATAGGTCATTATAGTAAACAGATTTTGCTTTGGAAGGGTAGAGACAAACAACTTATACAGTATGATCATTTCTGTAACGAGACCTTGTAGACCAAAGCTCTGGCTGCACATGAGGTAATGTGTTAAGTTTATCCAGTGGTTTGAAAACTACATCCATCAAACTACCAAACTAAAGCAAGTAACTCAAGTATTATTTGTTTCTATGTGTAAAATCTCTTTAAATGGTGCTAAAGTCTGGATGAGCATACAGACACACAGTGCTGCCGATCTCTCTATGCACTACCATATGGTAAAAGACTCCAAGCCTGAACCTGGTTCAGATCCAACCACCAGTCTGAGCCACTCCTGTGAGAATTTCCTTTGATTCATGACGTCTAGCATTAGCGCTGGGCAGCAAACCCAAATACCTACTTTACCAACCCTGCTCTCTCTTCCTTCAGTTCAGAAAAACAGCAGCTGTTTTCATAGCTCAGGTCTCCTGCCGTCCCTCCTGAAAGCCAACTCATACAACCACTTCCTCCACCTCATCAGCTCAGTGTTACTAAAGCAAAAATCATCCCTTGCACAGGCTTCCACTATGGTTTTAAACAATTTATGCTAGATTTGTGAACACGAACATGAATACACGTATCTGTTGGTAGTTACAAACACTGTGTCAAGCTTGAAATGTTATTTGATGCAGCTGTCCCTGTGACAAGTCAGAATCCTTTATGAGAATATACTCATTTTAGATGCATTTAATTTAGAGTAAACACTTAAATGTACAGAGAAACTTCAGAAACAATTCTCATTTGATATTGAAGTCTAGACACTCATGGCTCAAGCTGGGGGAACTGCTCATTCCACTAATAAAACTCCATCCATACTGATCTCCACTGCCTTTGTGTAAATGTAATAAAACAATTAAACAATTTCATGATGTTGCCTTATTTTAAAAACAGTAGATATTGGGCTCATAGTTTCCACTTTGTCTTTAGAATTTATAGCAGTTCAAAAAAAGGGTTTGTCTGAAAGTCTTGAGGCTTATTAACAAGAACTCCTGTAAAGGTTTTACAAAGTCTGTAGGGTTTGCTGTGCTCTGTTGATGTTTCACAGCAGCATGAGGCTCCCAGAGAAGAAAAAACATATCAGTCTGCACGGGACATGGCACTTGGCAAACAGGATACGATTAACTCAGTGATGAGCCTGGGGGCTTTAGGCTGAGCGTGGTCAGCCTCTGTTCCTACACGTTACCTGAGGAAACAGTGAAGGCTGGCAGAAACATGACCTTTGGTTAATGGCAGGCCTGCTGTTTTTATTGTGTAATTATGGAATTTAAAGGGGAGAGAGATGACTTATGCTTGGTAATTGCTTCACAGTTGGGAGTCAGTTGTTCTGAGCAGTGTATTTGTGTTGTTGCTGTGGAAAAACTCCAAGAGAAGCAGCGTTACAGTCACTGCTGTTTGGAGAAACCCAGAAGTAAGAAAGAAGCAGTTCAGATATATCAAACTATCATACACAGTGTGGTAGAAGTTGGTCTAGAAGCACCCCTCATATTGATTGTTGACAGGATCAAGATCAGTCTCCTATCTGTTTCAGAATATAGGCTTGTTAGAATTATATACATATTTTATGCATGCCACATGAAAAAAGTGTTCAGAAAGTATTGTCCTTTTTCTTTGTGACAAAGTAAAATGTCTTATGTTATGCAAAATTTGAAATGCAATATTAGTTACTAGGTCAGATCCTTTGCTCCATCCAAACTATGCAAACTGTGGCCATAAACAGGTTATAATTAATTGAGGATGTATAATTTGTGAATGAGTGGTTGATTCTAACCACTGCCTCTGAGTTACTGTCATTCAGTGTAATGAGGGAAAGTCTTTCCGATGACACGTAAAGGTTCAGTGAATCCGATACAGTATGCACTTTAATAGTTTCTATTGTCCATTCTGTGCAATGATAACTTAATTAAAATATAAGGCTAGTCATTTTCTATATTAATAGTGTTTTCAGCAATCCTCATACAGAGACTAAAACCGACACAGCTGTCAGTCCTGGATTAGCTTGTTTGTCTGTGCCATAGACCACCGCTGCTGTTCAAAAATGATTCATCTAGCAGCTCTGTGAGGCTGACGTCTGGCCAAAATACTGGATAAACAGAAAAATCAACCTTGTGATGGTAATAGCTGAAAGGTCTGGAGAGTAAAAAATACAAGATCACAGTCATACCCTGCGGACTGTGACTGTTTGCACCAAGTTTCACAGCAACACAGTTCTCAAGATGGACCGATCGACTGACCAGTACTGCTGCCTTTGGCATGGCTGAAAAACTAAACAAAGAGCAGGCATGGAAATAATTTCAAAAGCAAACAATAATGTATAATTATTTGTACATGGTCCACTGTGGTTACTGCAGCACCTCCCCTCCTTAATCCTTGTCAGGTCTCTACTGTGTTCTCTCTGATAAAGAATAAAATGTATCAGGAACCAGAAAATCATCACTTTTACAAAATATAAAAGCTAATGGATAAAAAAAAGGCCTCTGCTGAACAGAGATTTAAAATGCATGACTGGATAATTTAATGATGTTGTGTTAGAATGAAAACAATCCTTGAATAAAATGCATCAGCACTTGCGCAAAAAAAAAAAAAAAAACATGCACAAGAGGCAGATATCACAAAACTCAGGACCACTGAATATAAAGCCATTCACTGCCCAGCTCTCGTCTAATAACAGTGACATCCTACCTGATCCCTACAGAGCTCACAGAAAGGTGCTCTGGGAGGAAAACACAACGGGTCTGTTGTGGGCTGGGCCTGAAGTCTGAGGTCAAACAGGAACAATAGGACCCATCCAGCAAAAGCCACACAGATCTGTTTACAGCCACAGACGGAAGCTGGCAGCCTCAGCCTGGCACACAGGATGCCACACTGACACCAGCATAAAGGCAGGTGAATGCTTTTGTTATGGGATTCCCCCTTTAACTCTTTTACAAAGCTGAGACACAGTGCTATCACTTCCACCAGGCCTCAGACAGTCCTCTCTGACACATGGAGACACAACACATACTCACAGCTTTGGTTTGGGCTTGACTGGCAGCGGAGGGCCATCCTTCCCAGGGGATGGAGGCAGCTTGGCTGGGGCTACCTGAGCTGGACTTTGGGCCATGACTGGAACATCTGTAAGCTCAGACTGTGGTGGAGGTGGAGGAGGAGATGGAGGTGGTGGGGGTGTAGTTTCTTTAGGCGAACTTGGAGGTGATGGTAGATTTGGGGATTGGCCATTCTGTATAGACACTTTCTCCTTGTCCTTGTCCTTGTCCTCCACCTCTGAGCCCATCTGAACAGGAGGCAGTGCCGACACACTGGGCCAGATCTCCAGCTCCTTAATATGGAAAGCCTCAGTGCCGGGCTGAGGTAGCATCTTGGGTGGCAGCTCCAGGAGGCTGATCTCTGTGGGTGTGGGAGGAGGGGGGAAGGCTGCTGCATCCTCAAACCTGGAGCTGTCACCAGACATGCCATTACTGGATGACTCGTCAGCTGCTGAGGGAAACATACAAAGTGGAAAACTTTGGACTTAGTGTTTAGTTTTGCTTCTGACAAGCACATAGCTCAGTAGATGAGGATTACACACACACACGACTGTATCACAGCTGATCTGACATAAAGCAGCAGCTGGGACCAGTCAGACAGAATGCAGTTCCTGTTTATTCAGCCTTTCCTGGACTGTAGATACACTGTTCTGTCTGTGAGAACACACACACAGAAATCAACTCATACCTCTTACCTTGCTCACACACAACATGTCACAATAACAGGACAAAAGATGGTCATCTTGTTGAGACATACATTCTACAATTGATCCTAAGCCACGGAATGTCCAGGGATTATCAGAGGTCAGTGTTATGATCAAACCCTGATTCATTCGCCAGATTAATTTTGTTCTGGAAAAAAAACATTTTAGAAATGAGAAAACAAGATGTCCATATTCTCATAGCATCTTCTAATATTAAGGTCATTTAAAATAGCAGAGATTCAAGCATTATGATGTAGTGTCTGGCAGGGTACTAATTTCTGATAGTGCCATTATGAAGCCTACAATTAGCTTGTGCTTGCTACCATCATCTGTTACTGTAGCCAACATATCCAAATTCTGTCATTGTGGTAGAGCCTACAGTACATTAAAGCTACAGTATGTGACTTTTTAAAAAACATTTTAGTTGTAGAAATGTGCTCCGGAACTTGTCTTAATGTGGAAAGGTGCTGTCAAAGTGCCCTATGACCCAGACTCACTGAGCAGATATTAGCTTCTAAAAGGCTTTGAGGGGGATTGACTTCTTTAACCAGTCAGAGATTTTCAATTATTTCTACTTGATCAGTAAGTTTTGTTGCATTCTCATTTATTGTAATCTCATGTATCTGAAGAGCTGAACAGAGCGTGGCAGAGCAGAGCAGATCGTAGTACAGCACAGTGGAGCAGGGAGTGGTGGGCGGAGTGGACTGAGTTGGAGTTTCATGCTAGTGCTACCTTAAGTTACATACTGCAACTTGAAATGAAGGCAGCTAATGTAGAAGCACGTCAGTCAAGGTGAATGTGCCTGTCCAAATAATTCTTAATTTTCAAAGCCACATATTAGAAAAAGCAATTGATTTATTTTTAAAGAAAAGTTGACTTCATCTTTATCCTGGAGCAGTTACTCAATATTTTTATAGGGCAAACAGGAACACTCCATCTTAAGAAACTCCCACACTGGCTTCAACGCACCTGCAGTGACGGTGAGTTGGGCTGTGCTGCTGATGGATCCGTACGAGTTGGATGCAGTGCAGCAGATCAAACCTCCGTCCTCTGGAAAGGCCTCGGCTATCACCAGGGTGCAGATCTCCTCTAAAAAAAACCACAACCGCCATCAGTAAACATTTAACCAAACTGTTTATGATCCTAGAAGTTAGATTTGTGGTCTGAAGTAGATCATTGATGATGGGTGGAAATAAAAGACACAGCACAGAATCAAATGACAAGTTGACACTTGATTTATTTGTTATGAGATGTAATGCAGACATCAGATGGGCAGGAAGACAAGTAATGTGCATAATAGACTGATGATGGATATTTCTTATAGACTGGTGAGTCATTATTCATAGTGAGACATGTAAAGAGGAGCAGGCAGAGAGAAGACAAACAAGCATAGATGGAACCATTCAAGAAGAACAGACAGACATGAACACTGAAGCACAGATGTTCAGGGACGTCGGGCTGACTCACAGCCTGAGAGTAACACCTGGAATGACCCCTGATGCGCACATTTGGCTGATATATATCAGCATGTGCCTCACTGTTTGTCTGTGTGCGATTTTGTGTGTGTTTGAGTTTACAGGTGGCGGGGTTGTTCAGACTTTCCCAGAGACTCCCTCTGACTGTGGTAGATGTTATAATGAATGTCTTGTGAGAGAGACTCATTAACCTGTGATTTATTGCAGTCATAACCAAGTGAAAGGCTGATAAAAACATCAAATGTGAGTCCCCAGACAAAGCTAATAATCCATTACTAATTTTAACCACTGACTCCGTTTGAGAATATGAAAGCAGTCATACAGCGAGACACCTGGGAGGAACTTAGGAGACATACCTGGCTCAGCTGCAGATCGGGGCTCTGATTCATAGGGGCAGGGGGGAGGAGAAAAACAGAAATGTTATACTTTGGTTATTTTAGTTACATTTTACTTTAGTTGGGTTGTCAGTTTAGTGTTCAGAATGAAAAAACTACAATGATAACTGAAAAAATGTCTCACTTTTTTGGAGAATACGAAAATCCGGAGAGTCCTGGATCTCCTCTCCTTGGCGGTGCCATCGGACCTGCAGAGGAGGGCTTCCTCGGACCCTGCACTCCAGAACCACAACCTGGCCCTCAGACGCCTGTGTGTCCTGCAAGAGCTGCTCAGTTGTGGGAATAAAGTGAGAGAGAGAGAGATCATGAGTTAAAAAGAGCACGTGAGGGACAGTTGGTGAGGAAATAGGAAGAGACTGGTCAGAGGAAACAAAAATGTGAGGCATTTTATTTCACCACATGACATTAAGCTGCTGGCTTACATATTTTATGTCTGGTGACCATCTTCTTTCTCCTACATGCCCTTCTCCCCATAGAATGGACTTGAAAATAAAATGATCATCTGCTCGTTCACTGTAGGATTTTTCTTATGATAACTCTTCAGGGTAATGACAGTATCACTTTCTGTTGGGTTTCCTTTGACTAACACAATTCTTTAACACTTGACATGCACAGTTTTTTAGAATGCAAAGGTATGTCCACCAAGAACCTGACATCCATCTGGGTTTGGCCAACACATAGTCCAAATCAGCCATAAATTCGACTGTTCACTCTGTCCATTGTTTCAACTTCAGTGTAGAATCTGACTGGTCCAAATAGTCGTCACCTACAGCTGTCAGTTTAGACCCTTAAGGTTACTTTATCAAAATATTGTATTTCACAACCTGCCTAAATGTTTATGATGTCACTTTCTGATTCAATGTAGGTCTGTGTATAATTATTTAACTTGTAAATAATTAGGTTGAAGTTACCTTAGGATAGCAGTAGCTGTATGTTGATCCTATCACATACTCTAATCTGATGTAGCTACATTAAATTCACCTTTAAATGTGTGAAAATGCTGCTTTTAGGCAATAAAATAGGTGAGGAGATGATACTCTTACCCTCAGAACTGCAGGACGAACCATTCCTTACAAATGACAGTTTAATTCCTGTGTCCAAACAGTCACATGACACTTTCATGTGTGTGTGTGTGTGTGTGTGTGTGTGTGTGTGTGTGTGTGTGTGTTGCAGAACACAAAAAGCATCAACACAGGGGCTGATGGAGAAATCACTGTCAACAACTGGATTGTCTCTTCTTCCAGCTAAGAGGGCCAGAGAGGTATCAGTGTCAGTGTGAAGCAATGTGCCTGTGAGCCCGAGTCCCCCTCACTCACTCTGTGTGTATTGGGCATGATTACATTTTGGGGAGACAAAGGGTAGAATGCACATCATTGGCCTGAGTGTGTCTATGTGGGTTGTATGGGTGATATCATGGTGCTGACTTCACTAGAAGCAAACATCCTCTCACTGAGATGATTAAAGCCTGCAACAGTTTTTAAAGGAGGTGTGGGGGTGGGTAGTGTGAAGGCAAACAAATGTCTTTTTGTAATGAAGTGGAAAATGATTTAGGGCCTGACTGGCTGAATGAGAGCAAAAGAGACCTGACCCTTGTGGGTTTGGCAAAGCTGTTTGAAGTTCTGCTTCAGCCCGTCTCAGTCCTGCCATCACAAGATCCATAGCCTGAGGAGGAGGGAGCTGGGTGTTGATGGGGGAGTGAAGAGTCTGAGCTGTTCTGGAGCTCGAGGAGCAGCTCTCACCATGTTTTATCTGATCTCCATTGCTGAAACCCAGCACTGCATACTGCTATTATGGGAAGGCACAGATTCTGAGTACATGTGTATCAGGTTATGTCCAGGTTTGTGTGTAAGTGTTGCATGTAAATAAATATGTATGTATCTGAGGTGATAGTCCCTTAGGCCCAATTAGGGAAAATTTTAATGCTACCGCATATAAAACACTTGAAAATGCTTCAAACCACCTTCTACATCGGAGAAGGCCCCTACTGCTTGGAAAAACAAGACCTAACCCCTTTGGGATGAAGTGAAATGTCAACTACAGACAGGTGTTATCTCCCAGCATTAGTGTTCAGCCTCATTACTGGTTGTGAGGCTCAGTGGGGGCAGATCCCTGTTCCAAAATCATATGGCATAACCAGAAGAAAAGAGGCAGTTGTGTCAGCAGCAGCTTAACATGATTCAACAACCATATCGGGTTTGGATGTCCACTTACTTTTGATGATATAGGGTACTTATGACATGTTGTGTGCACGGACTTACCTTGGTGAACAAAGGAGGCCCTGACACTTCACTATACAGTGACGACACTGGGCTCTGCATCTAGAAGACAACACAAACTTAGTTTTTGAGCCTGTTGAGAAACATCAGTGAAGAAGATGTTTATGTGCCGCTTTGGCTCTACTACTCTTTGTGCTTCAGATGGCTCACCCGCTGCAGTGGCTGAGACAGGGACTGGACCAGAGTGGAGCGACATGGGAGGACCTCCGAGGTTTTGGGTGATGAGGAGCGTATTGTCAGGGACATTGAAGTAGTCTTTTTCTGAACTCTAAAGTGAACAAAAGATAAATTAGCACACAAACAGAACCAAGAAAAAAGGAGACATTTCTCAACTACATGCTTTTACTGTATTTAAAGTATGATACTTGAATCAAAGAAAAACATCTCTGCAACAATCAAGATGATATCAGTAACCTTGGCTTCAGTGAATAAACAGAAAGAGAATCAGGAAGTAGCCCAGATGGAGTCAGATTTACACAACGCATAATAACCACAAACATTTAGAAAGCCAGAAGGCACTCAGAGCCAGATGCACAATCCTAAAAGTACATTATTTTAATACTAGAACATGATTAGAAATGTTTCATTTGTATTGTAATCTAAATGCACACAAAAACAAGATTATATAAGTAACAGATAATTTAGGTCCCCTTGTGCAATTTTGAAAAAAAGTCAAAAAAGTCCTCTAAATAATTTTGCAAACTCATGCGACCACATCTGGATTTGCCCCATGACCTAATGTGTCACTAAATAATCATTTTAACATTAATTTTTTTTTTAAACTGAAAAAGAAAAAATAAAAGGAGAGCGTGAGAGTGGCCAAGAGGTAAAAGGTTTAACATTTAGAAAAAACTGCAGGGGACAAACTTCACAGGGTATTTTTTTTACCCTATTAACCCTCTGCACCTGTCGCTATTTATACTGTGGCCTGTGTACTGGGTCAGGGTCATGTCTCTTAAAGGCCTATTCGAGGCTGTAGTTAAATAAGAGCAGGCAGTGGACCTGATAAGCTGCTGCAGGGCTCATTTAACCTGTTCATGGATTCAAGGTCCATTGGGTTATGGGGTGACAAGTCATTCCGAAACACACGTACTGAGGCATGGTTCCTGATCTGGACTTTGACGCTGCTCCTTCCCCTTCTGAGTCAGATGATGAAACTCCTGGGACAAAAATACAAGTAGTGCTTGTTAGTTCTTTTTATTCCTATAAAATACCTGTATGTAAAACATAATAAACTGTTTAGAAATATCTTAATCAATGTAGCTGCTGTTTCTTTATGAGCAAAATATGTGTCAAAGTTATGAATATATCAATATATGTATGATAATAAAGCACCATACAAAGTAGATGTTGCTACACATTCTTTTAGGATAATTATGCCATCTATTAAGTGATAGAAACTGAGTATTTGAACTTTACTGAGCTAAAACAATAGCAAAGTCCTTCCTATTTTGTACTATAAAGCAATCTCAGTTTGTACTGTAAAGCATTCCAGCACATTAGCCACCGTGGATGCCCACATTAGTACAGTATAATTAATGTAATGATTATCTGGTGTGAAAATAACATGAAAATATCATTTCTGACCTTCAATGTAAACTTCAGCAGAGGTGTTGTCAGCTCCAAGACTGTTGGAGGCTACGCAGGTGTAACGTCCTGTGTCGTCCTCAAAGGCTTCAGCGATCACCAGTGTGTGCAGGTCACCATCCCTCCAGATTTGTATGTCAGGAGAGCTGTGCAGCTCACGGCCTTCACAGAACCACCTGGCAGAGGAGGTGAGTCACAGCTTAGGTTATTTTCACATGGTGTGCAAATCAGAATTGTGTTGTCTTACTGAACAAAGTCTAATAATAATCATTTTAAAAGTAAAGCTACAGCTGAACTGGTATACCAAGTTTCAGGAAGAGTGACACACTAGTCAGTGAGTGAAGACACAGACACTAAAATATCCCATCGTACCCAGTATCTTGTTCAAAGTGGTGCTCAGTTGCTAACACTTAGCAAACTATACTATGCTCAATTATAGTATACAGTATACATACAATTTGCATTATTCACAGTAGCAAAACAGATTTTGAAACACATTAATACATAGTATAAAAACTCTAAACCATAATTTTTAAATAATGTTGCCTGTAAACATAAAGTGCATTTCAATTTTGTGTCATCTGATTAGCTGGTTTATTTAGCTAGCTTAAGTTATGGTGGTGTCTTTGGTGCACATGTATGCTTTCAAACTGCTGTGCAAAAACACTTCAGTCTTCAGAAATGATGATGACTTTAAAATGTGGGTCATTTTGGACATTATTCTTACCAGATTTAATGCTGACCAACTTAACAGTTGAGATCTGGAGATGCAGCAAGACTGATTTTTAATGGGTGCCATTTTTCAGAGTTTGCATTTATTCCATTTAAATGTAAATGAATATTCCAGTAAAAGCAAAAGTTACATTACAGACCACAGGAAATAGGACTCATTGCTGAAATGTACAGTATGTCTCTTCTCAATAAAATCTTATCTGACAAGCAAGGGCCATCACTCTTCATAACAAATAGTTGAACTTGCCAGATAAGATGGAGGCCTCCTAATTTAACTCACATCTGTAACTACACAAGACACCCTGAGGCACTGACAGGACATCATGTTACGGGAAGCTGATAGACCCTTCCCATCCTTCCAATCAGAGGCATGTGTCTGGGCATGCGCTGGGCTCTCCTCAGCCTCCTTAGGGACTGCTGACACCAGCTTTGCTCCTTGATCTGAGGCTGAGGAGGGATGAGAGAGTTTACAACCAGCTTTACCTGTCTCATCCCTTTTCACAGAGTTATGATTAAAGCAGACCCCCCAGTACCATCTCACCACATCAAATACAGGATCAAACAGCAAGGGTCACATCACACATCTCCTACAAATACACCCACACATAAAGCTCTGGCCTCAAATGTCATGATTTGTGAGAGTCTGTTGCTTTACTAATGTCTCATAGTCTTTTTGAAGCCAAGATAACAGCACTCCACTGACGCATTACGCACTGTAGAGCCCATCAACACCCTATTAAAGAAGAAGGCATACATGTCTCCTTCCCCTCTCTGCCTCTGCATTGACAGGAAGAGGGCCAAGAAGAAGAACAGCTGTTGTGTCCATTCAGACCCCTGACCTAAGGACATTCCAGCTATCTTGGAGAGCTGTATAAAAAATTCCTGACTTCCTGCTGCATGGTCATTACTTGATTTTATACACGCTGGTGTGTCAGTCAAAAAGCAGGCTGACTCTTGTTCTAGAAACCAATCCATCAGCCAAAATATCCGGGCAACACTTCATACCAGAGGATTTACAACTGACAGAGTGGGTGTGGGAGCAGAGGCCGGGACAGAGAAAGTGAATGAAAAAAAAAAGCTACGTACTGAAACAGGAGGTGAATTAGCGTGAGTCAGGCTGGGTCAGACAGGAAAAATTACACGCTGACGGATCATACTGAGCAATTCGTCAGTAGCAGTGACAGGTGGAGCAGTGCAAACTAGTCACTATGTTTCTGCTTTGTCTGCTGTTTTTTTTTTCAATCACCAAACCCCCTGAACAATAGACTCCTCGTGGTAGTTCCTCTGTCTTATCACTTGATGAAGTGGAACAACGGAAACTTGGCTGGTTCTCTCAAGCAGCCAGACTCCAGTGTGTTAAATGATAGGAAACAGATCATGGCATGAGACTAATGAAGAACTGTTCATGGCACGAGCCAGAAGACCTTATCACTGGTGTGTCAGCCCTCAAGGCAACAGAGGCCAAGAGTCATCTGCCACGCTTCAGCAGCTACCTGTGCATCAAACATATGATCCAGACAGAGAAAGGATCCTGTGTGACAAGACTTTTCCACATGATACGGGCCACATTCTGTAGTGTGGAACTGACAGAGAGTAAAAAGTTGACTGTTTGACTTAGCCAATATGTCTGTGCGGTCTTGAAATACATTTTTCTAGATTATACCAGGCAAAGAAAAGGAAAAACATGTTTAGGTGACTGCCACATCTGCTGGGGATTTGCTTTGCAAGCTTAGGTTTCTTTTGTTGGTTAAATGTCATTAAAATGTCTTTTAAGTCGCTCACTACATTAATCAAAATGGTAGCACATGGTGGAAGCCGTATGCTCTGAGTTTGATGTGGACAAGTACAAATCCCCTTCAAAATAGAAAAATCATTTGGTCATTTTTTGAACACCATTTAATTGAACACATACAGGCAAGGTTTTAATGTAGCACATGACATCATTAAACTAATGATTTGGAGGTACTGCAGTGTGTGTTTTGTGTATACATGTAACTATAGAGAAGAGAGGCCAACAAACAGCAGGGGATATGTTTTCCACAGGGTGGCCTGAATCTATCCAGATCCCCCCAAAAAACATTTTGTTGCAGCAATATGTGTGAACTAAAATGCGAATAGTTGTAATTTAAACCTTCACCAATTGTCTTATGAGTTTCTATACTAAATGTCTTTAGTAGTTTTCCATTCTGCTTATTTGATTTGATTTGATTTGATTTATTCTTTCAAACATGTAACGACAGTCAATATGTCAACACACATAATTTCACACATATCCACAAATGCATTATCAATTAGCTTATACCTAGTACATGCTTGAATGGAGTAGGAAGAAGTCAGACTTATCCAGTCCTACCCCATAACATCATCTTACCATCATTGGTTTGCAAGCAGTATCTCTACATAGATAATTCTCTTCTACACCACACAAGTAATATACTAAAGAATTATTACAAAGTGTTAACATTCATACACCACACCCACAATGTTCCATCTAATTAATCATTGAGCCTGTTCTTGCATATATCTTGATTGACACATACCTTTATATTTATGTTTAAACTTGTCAATTCTATTACTATTTTTTATGTCTACACTTAAATTATTCCATAGTTTTACCCCACTTATGGAAATACAGAATCTTTTTTTGGTTGTACGTATAGCATGAATTTTTAAATTTAATTGACCCCTTAAATTGTATCCCCCTTCCCTTTCATTAAATAGTTTTTGAATTCCACCAGGTAATAAATTGTTCCTGGCTTTATACATAAACACAGCAGTCTTATATCCCACTAAATCGAAAAATTTTAACAATTTAGACTGTATGAAAGCTCCATTGGTGTGATCCCTATACCCCATCTTATGCACAATTCTTATCGCTCTTTTTTGTAATATATACAATGGTTGAAGTGAGCTTTTGTATGTATTTCCCCAGTTTTCAACGCCATACTCTAAGTATGGTAAAATCAATGAAGAATACAAAATGCGTAGTGCTTTCCCGTCCAAAATATATCTAACCCTTGCCAATATCAATATATTTTTTGCTATTTTATTCTGAACATATCTGATATGAGATTTCCAGGAGAATTTGTCATCAACTATGACACCTAGAAATTTAATTTCATATACTCGTTCTATATTAGCTCCCCCAATTTTCAATTGAAGTTCATTATCTAGTCTACGATTCCCAAATACCATAAATTTAGTTTTATCCAAATTCAGAGATACTATATTACTGTCACACCATTTCTTTATCTTCTCAAGTTCCTGTGAAACCCATCCAAAGAGTTGCTGTAGGTTTTCCCCAGATGCCCATATGGTAGTGTCATCAGCAAATAAAACCACTTTCACTAAATCCGAAACCAGCACAGAAGTCTGCTGGGGAATTTAAAACACACACCATCTGCTCAGTACGAGTATGGGAATCTAAATGTAAATGTAAATTTGTATGGGCACAATTAGACTAAACACAAAGCAGAGCACATGACTCATCAGCTCATGTTCGCTATGAGTTGACTGAGCATCAACAATGAAGCACAAATTAGCACAATTTAACAAAAACCTATTAATCGACATTAATGATCTATCATTATGCATAATTACTGAGTACACTCATTTAGAAACAGACGGTAATGTTTATTTAATCTTCTGTCTATTTCTGTGGCATGTGCTAGGCCTAAACAGCATGTTTTCTCCAGTGGGGGAGCGAGAGCTCTGTTGAGTCACATACAGTCCAGGAGGCACAGAAGGATTTTAACCATCAATAGCATAACTTGAAGGGGAAGCAGGGTGTGTTAGGAAAGCATGTTCATGAGAAAACCGAGTAAAGGTAGAATTTTCTTGGCCGAATGCAGTTTTACCACCCATTTCCTCTAAACACAATGCCATTATAGAACAGAACTATTCAGAACATGAATGCAAAATAGCTGAAAGTAAACAGGCTTCAGTAACGCCTCACCTCTTCATTCATCTCCCAGCCTGTGGCACCCAGCCAAAATGGTGATTAAATATCCCACCATCAACCAGCCTGTCTCCAGCTCTCTGAATAAAGGTAGCATGTGAGAAAGCAATTATACACATCTTAAGACAACCGAGGCCAACAAGAGGATGATTTCTGTTTAATGGTGCTCCTATTCATATACAGAAGAAGAGAGCATTCCACGGGACAGGCCAAACCACAGCCTGTTGCCCTTGCCTCCATAGTGTGTGTTGAGGGCCTCCCTCTCCTTGCATGACCCTGTTGTTATTTGCTGCTGTTGATGGAAAATCTTATGCAGTAAGGATCAGTTTCACCACAAACCCAAATGAGTGAAGGCCAGAGGGAAGAGAAAGAGGAAAAAGGAGGGTTCAATCATAGAAATGACCTTGACAGGATGTAGAAGTGACAAGCTTGCAAAAACACTCCCATATGTCAATCAAGAATCAGCACTGGGTAAGGCATGGGGAG